TTCAGCCATCCCAAACCCATTATAATCTGGAAACAGCTACCCTTGTGGACTGTCTTAATGGAGACCAGTAATGAATTGTATGCATCAATGCAAAGATATACATGGCAAGAATCATGTTTTACATTAAGTAACAGTTCAGTACATTGGAGAGTTGTACAACAAGTACCTCCTACTTGCTGAGGCAACATACAGGAAGGGTGACCCTTCCAGTTTCAATGGTTCCAGTCAAGTGCAGGGAATGACACTTCATCTCCCAAGGGAGATCTGGCACCTCTGAAGAGATGAGGGCAATGAATCTGAATGAAAGCCTCAGAAAAAGGACAGCCTAACCCAACCAGGGCCTGAAGACAGCCCAATGTTTTTAAACCAAACAACTCAAGATTGGGTCATTAAGGCAGAAAGGAAAGAGTAAAAGATAAGAAACACAGGAAGAAGAAGGATAAAATACTCATGGCACCTGAGGAGATATAATCCTTCATTTTTCTATCTATCATTCAGCATGAAAAAATCTTGTGTGTGAACAATTAAAATCAAAAGATTTAATATCACCACAAAATTCTGCAGATACCACAAGCCACTTGTATTGCTGGGTTGTCTTTAACTCAATGGCCATGCCCTGGTACTTAAGTATAGAACACTTAAACATCAGCACGGACAGGCAATGCTCTGTGGCACCAGCTGAATAATTTAATCAGGACAGGAATGTAGGCAGAGATCTTATAAAAGATGGTACTACATGAATATCTGTCTATACAGAACTCTTCCAAGCACGTAGTGATCAGCTGTTGTTAGAGCTCCCAATTCAGTACTACATCCAAAAGTAATACTTCTATGTAAATGACTGTACACATTGACTTCAAATTACTGGAATGTATGTATAAATACACACATTTACCAGAAATTTCAGCTCATTAATATGCATCTAGGAACAGCTTTAGAAACAAAATCTATTGGAGAGATGTGATTTCTGATCTTTATATGTGGCATTGCCTGTAAGGCTTAATTTGACTGAAGTGTCTGTATTCACTAAAGACCAACGTAATTATGTATGTACTCTGCAGCGTGACAATGGATTCACTTCATGGGAAATAACAATGCCCGTTGTTTTAAGCCTGCTACACAGCAGTACAAAACAAAACTAGGCAGCACTAAAATAACACCATGAGAAACAACCTACCTTCTCCTATTCAAATCCTTCCACAGCATTTACAATTTGATAGATATTTAACCAGATCCCCCCACCCCTTAAAGCTGAAGAAGCTTGGATCCCAAAAAAAGGTTATTTAATCAGCCACTGCATGAAAGCCATTCCACCTTTAGCCAGTTCTAAGGTTTTTCCTTTATTCCCCCTCATTTGACTACATTAAAAAAAAAGAAAAAAGAAAAAAATCCAACAAAGCAGGAGGTCAGAGTTGCAGAAGTATAGAGATATGGTGAATCCCCATTTTGTCATATAATGGTATTTTCTGGTTTTCTCCCTGTTCCTACCTAATATTGCCAGTGTTCCATTTACCTTTTTGAGGTTTCTTTTGCACCAAACATTAAGCTCACATCCCTGGAGAGACATTAGCTAGCTGACAGCCTGTTTGAAGTATGGCAAAGTACCACTGTTTTACTCACCTCTCCATATGCATCTGTCTTCATTCATTCTCTTTTCCCAAGTCTTTCACAAATATGCACCCTAAATAAAAGCTAGCACCAGTCACTTTCAGATCACACTGTTGATCACATGCTCTTAACCAACAGCCAAATACTTCTACCTTGTTAAAAGACAAATATCAGGGATTTTTTTTAACCAATTACTTATCCTTTCCAGGGCCTTTGCTTTGATCCCATTGCAACTCAAAACTTTGTAAAGGATTTCTGGACCTAAGTAAACTACACGAACTGTAAGATCTTTCTTCATGCTCAGCGACTCATTTGATTAACTCCTGTATCTGTTACTTCCCTCTACAAAAGCTCTGTTGAATTCTTTCCTTACCATTATTTAGGATAAACTACAAAAAAGCAACAGCCCATGCACACATGATTAACTCGCTGTTCTCCAGGTCCAACGACCTCACTTTAAATGTTGGGTTGCTACCTTCCATTCCTTTGATGTGGAAGCAGTTTTAAACCAATGAATTAAGCGTTACAGACAGTAGTTCAGAAATGTCATCCTGAATTCTTGGTAGCATTCAGCCAGGAGCTCTACTAGTCATCACCCTTTCTTACTACTCATTTTACTTGTTTGCTGGACACATCAGAGAGATACTCCACAAAGCCTTCTGCAAAGAAACTTTCCAGTGCACAGACATCTCATAACATCTCTAGAGACAACAATATAAAATAAACTTTCCTTTTATGTTATCTTTTTATATTTTAAGGGCACATTCTGCATCACCTATTGGCTCTTCATGCAGACAATTTTCCTGCTTCTGATGAGTTAAAAAACCAAAAATATTTTTCTGCTTTTTAGCAAGCTATTTCTCAGCTTATTTTTTTCTTCAGTAAAAAGAAGAAACTGAAGCATTTAATTTGCCAGGATTTGCGTTCCCTCATCTTATTACTGTTAATAATCTCTACTATTCTGCAGTTATTCAAAACAATTTTGTTTTAACCTTTCTAATTAGTCCAACATTTAAAAAAAATATTAACCTTCATGGCAGCTGCTAGCTGAAACTTTCCCAAATCCAGAGAGTCACTGACAAGAAAAAAATTTATCCTTACACTTACGACAGAGCACAGTAATGCATCTCCCTTACACAAATTTCTATCAGCACAGAAGTTTAGGTAATTGGTTTGGCCCAGAACCTAAAAACTCGTAGGAGAATCATGGTAGATGGTAAGAGTGAAGTAAATTCACACTTAGTAGGCTTATGATTTTTTTCAAGATTGTGAATGTTTTTTTGAGAGACAGGAAAAAGGATAAAACAAAAGCTGAAACAAGTTTCTCATAGCTTGACTTCTTTGCCTTTAAAACCTCCCAGAAAAGTTAAGATTTGGCTGAAGTGAGAAAAAATGTACCTTCACACAGAAACAATTAGTACAGGATTCCCATTACTGGTATAAGGAGATAAATGAGTCAATTCAGAGTACTCCTTTGCAGAGACATAAAAAACCCTACGCTATACAGGCCAGGTATAAAGCTCTCTGACGTCACTGGAAAGATTCTCAAATACTTTGACAGGCAGTTCCACAGCAGCATGAAAGAAAGGGCTGATGAAACCTTGTAAGGCACAGCTGCCTACTGTTCACGGGGGTATGTTCCATGACACAGCCCACGTGTACTCCAGCAAGTAGTGCAGCCCACTAGGAACAGGTCTGTGATGAGGATGTGACACCCTAATTCCAAGGGATGTGGTGGTGGGGGATGCATAACAGAGGCTACCACTAGTCTAATCCTACACACTGAAATGCCCATTAGCAGTTAGAGCACACTTTGGGATTAGTTTCACCTAAAGGGACGCTGGCTTGTGTGCTCTTAGAGCACTCTGACATGAGTCAAAGCATGACAAGTGGGGACACTGCTATGTGGGACACTGTTTATCCTAGAGAAGGCTCGGGAGGGGGCTCTTAATAATACATATGGTAAATAAATACCAGAAAGGTTGTGGAGCCTCCATCCTTGGAGATATTCAAAAGCCATCTGGACATGGTTCTAGGCATTGGCTCTAGGTAGCCCTGCTTGAGCAGGGGAGTTGGACCAGATGACCTCAAGAGGTCGCTTCCAACCTCAACCCTTCTGTGATTCTGTGAAAAGAAGATCTGATCGAAACTAAAATACTAACGTAAACACATTCATTAAATACAGTAACTAGCTACACACTAGACTAATAGAGACAGAAAACAGAAGGGAAGGGAAACAAGAAAATTCACACACAACAGCAGCGGTGAAAGTTTTGTTGAAAGAACTGAGGTTTTGGTCATGCTTCAGTATCCAACACTTCTGCATCAGATACCTCTGAAGAGTAAGTGCTGGCAAGTACCACAAAAACAGTACTGACATCTTTTAAAGATTAATTCAGATAAACAATATTTAAGCTTGGCAGTCCCATTTGTATAACAGAATCCAGCTATTCATTAAAAGCTGATTACGTCATTCTAAGAATACTGGACTGCCCCATCTGCAAACCTTTCTTTCCATTCTTTGAGGCAGTGAAGCATTACGTTGCCTTACGTTTCTGTGAGGCCATATGCCAGGTCCAACATGTCCATCTCTTCATCAGTAATTGCATCTAGTTTCTCAAATATGTGGTCTTCAAAGATTAAATGACAAGTTGAACAGGCTAGTGTTCCTTCACATGCACCTAAAGTAAAAAAAAATAAATAATAAAATCAAGATACCAGAAAAGTCAAGTTTCAAGTTACAGCAGAATTTCAGAAGAAATCCTTCATATATGTTCATCTCATACAAGAAGTATCTCTGTTGATCAGTAAAATCAGTGTTTCATATATTCCCACATTCATATATCTATTCTGCAATCAACTATCATCAGTATTTCCACAGGTCCTACAGCATTAAGATTTACTTGAATGCAGTAGTTAGTTAAAACACGTAACTAATTCCCTTTCTACCATTTAAAGAGAGAAAAGTTTTCTACTGTAAGAATGCAGACAACGCTGCCAATCAGCACTACCTAATTTATTGCTATGGTTGATCCTTCTATCCCTCTTTCCCACGGTTCTGAGGTTTTCTTAAGAAGTTCAACAGAAGACACATGCTAAACAAAAAATTCCTCAGAAGTACAGAAAGGAAGGATTTTATACTTGGCATTTCTTCTCACTCAACAGAGCACTAATTGGTAGCAACAAAGAGATGGCTAGAGAGAGATGGTTTTCTCTCTGTTAAAGAAGCCTACATGCATTACTAGACAATCCAGCCTGAGCCAAGGATCTAGTCATTTGCTAGAGTTGAACAGAACAAGCATCAACTACATCTACCTGCTAAACCAACTGGGTCATCACAGAACAGTAAAAGTTTGAATACTAACAAATTTGTCTCTGCCACTGTACAGGGTTGGCACCGAGTCCTCCACTTTGTTGAAAAATACACATGCAACTTCAAGCAGGGGAGAAAGCTGAACTCTTCATACTTCTGTGGAGACTGGGGTTGGGGCACACAAACCTTCACCTCTGATTTAAATTCTTAAGGAGAAGCAGGTAAGATATTAGCCAAGTTTCATTTATTCACTCATTTCCAGGGAAAGCAGAACCAAGAGTATTGTGACCACATCACTTTTGTACTCCCATGGAAACAAAGGGAAGCAAGGCTGTGTGTGTAACCACTGCTATGACAAGGAACAGTGGGATTCATCACCAGACCACAGGAACCATACAGAGAGCACCCTGCTGTTACATGCAGTAATGGTATCAGCAGCACACATTCAAAATCACCATGACACTGCACTGGAAGACTTGATTTTTAAAATACATCACATCTTCAAGTACACACAAACACGTATGAAAAAGCAGATTTTAAATAAAGTGCCAAATAATGTAAAATTTGTTGTATCAGCAGTTTAAGCAAAACGTTTTAATGTTGAGGGAGGTGAGGGGGTGGTCGGAAACAAAGACCAAAACCACTGACCAGTGTATTTTCTGCAACTGTAAATCTAGCAGTAGCAAACAAATTGAGTGCAGCTGAATCATTCAACAATTTTGTGTTTGCACAAATATATTTCTATTATTATTACTGCACTTGGGATGCCCTCTAGTGATAGAAGTAAATAGTTAAGATTTAATTTTACATATTTTTCCCCCCTCTTTTTTCTCTAAACATAGAACACACATTTTTACATTATTTATACTGCATTATATCTCTGCCCTAGTATGGTGCTTCATTAGCAAATGATTATTGAAATGGGACTAGCTTATGTTATAATTAAAGATTGTTACAGTATCTCATATTTTTAGTACAGCTTCTGTTTATTGAAAGCATTTTTTTTCCCCAGCACTTTACCACAATGCCTTAACACGGCTGATATTCACACAAACTGAGAATGTTACTGTAGAGTACAAGCAGACTAGCTGTAAGCCTATATGACACATTAATAACTGATACATAAAGCTAGTTATCGCAAAGCATTATAGATTTTTAAGAGACAATTCCTCTTCCCCAGATGTATGCAACTCCAGACGTAAGAGTTGTCTCAGATGTAAGTCCAAGATTTAAAACCTTATCAAAGATTCTATTACTAGCAGTGGAATTTATTCGCACTTAAGTAAGACTCACCTCAGATGTCAATCTGTGCTACACTAGCCTACCTGTTTGTTTCCTCAAATTGCTCCATGCTCTGCATTCACTCGTACAAACTGTACTTCCACTTCCTGCTTTAGTTTGTACCATCGATTCTTAAGTTCATGTTCATGTAAATACTGGAGGTATTAACTGACATTATTAAATACCACTGCTTTGGGCAGAATCCTACAACTTCAATGGAATTAACTATGGAAAGTATGAAAGTCTGAAGGAATAGGGAGGTGTTATAACTTGCTCCCGTTTTGATTTAAAACAGAACTTGTACTGAGTTAGAATTTCACTTAGGGCATTGGTCTCCTTTATCCCAGGCCTTTAATAAGAATTAAACTTCTTGTTCTTCCTTACTAACTGACATGGATTTGGTTGTTTCTTTCACTTAGCACTCAAGTACCACAGTGAACTGTGCTACAAAAAGCCTGATCATAAATTGAGAGTATGGCAGTACTGAAGTAACCAGACAGGTTAGAAATGCATCAGTTTTGTGCTGCTTCCAGAACCTTTCAGCTCAGCAGAGTCTGCAGGTGGCATCTTTCAGATTCCACCTTGACAGCACTCTGTCCACATTCCCCTCCTTTAACATTCAAGCAAGGCTTACCCCAAATATTTTTTAGAACTTGACCCAAAATACACTATGCACCTGCAGGGAAAAAAAACAAACAAACAAACAATGGGGAGGAAGTCCAAATAAAGTACAGCTAGGTTTTATAAATAAATTAATAAATAAATATTAATTTACAACTGGACTCAATGATATTAAGAGTCTTTTCCAACCTCAATGATTCTATCAATACTTATGAATAACTGGTAATAGAACATCCTTTCTAGAGACTGAATACAGTATTCAGTGAATCTACTTACCAAAACCATCTATGTCTAGATTATTATCAACAACAACATCCAGCAGTGAATCCCCAGGTTTTCCTTTGGCCGTTAGTTTGTCACCATCACGATTTATGAAATTAACAGTTATTTTGTCTTCTGAGCTGAAAAAGAAAAGTATATAAAGGAATTAAAGAAAGAACTCTAGAATTTTTTAGATCTTTAAAATTGATTGAATACTGAACTAGTAATCACTATGAACTCTAAGAGCACGGAAACCTAAGTTACTGGCTTTTAAAAGCTGTAACAGGTACAGGCATTTACTGCTGTACATTGAACAAAGGAGATTAAAAATAAGAAAAAAAAAACAAACTTGGTTTGTGTTTTGTCACTAGAAGCCATATCAGATCCTGTTGTTTTGCCTTTCACTGAAGAGAGTCAAAGCTATTTTATTTTAGGCACAATATTTGCATATTTGTATTTTTACCCAATAAAAGATCTTATTTTAAAGGTGTCTCTTCACTCCTTTCTGTGGAGTCTTCCTCTGTATTTATTAAATTTTAATTTTCTCATCATTGCAATCTAGGACACATTTAAAAATTTTCCCATTTCTACATAGAGTTTAAGGCATTTTACTTTGATAGTTCCAAAATTTAATTATCCTCTCCTCCCAAGGATGTAAATACTCCAAAAGTATTCTGCTTTTTTTGAGCAGATTCTCTTAGGATTTCACTTCGTAATGTGAACTTTACTTTCTAGTGAAGTTCAAAGTTTTGACATTGCCTTCAAAGAAAGAAAGTTTTCAATTTTCCTGCTTTTCAAACAATTATGTTTAAGAAAAATTTCTCTCACAGTCTGCATAAAAATTCTTAACACTAATGCTTTTAATATGAAAAAAATTGGTTTTTAGTGTTCCATATGATGTCATTTCACATGCAAATTAAAGAAAAGCTGTTAAAATACTAACAACTAAAATACAGTTTGTTTTCTTCTAAACTATTTTTTTTTCCTATAGAAAGTGAGCAAAACAAGAAAAATGTATTGGATGGACAGCAAAGAAACCTGCCACGAGATGAGAGATACAAATAAAACAACTGAAAGCTAACGCAAAAAAAAAAAATAAATTATATGTTTCAATGTGAAATCCATGTTTAAGAACAGCATGCTTAATATTAACTTTAATCTTTTTAGTGATCTGGTGTTTGAGTGGTCTATCATATGGAAAGCATACAAGCTTGAACATCCAGTCACTCCCTGAGAAACTCTAACCTGCAGAGCTGAATATTAAGGCCAAAATTTGAAAGTGTCCATACTGAAACATCAGTAAACAGCTTATTTTTGGAACTGGCTGTAAAAGAAAATGTGTTTTTAGCAACCTGAGTCCTAGCTTGTTTTGAAAAACAACAAATGTTTGCTGCTGTAGACTTGATATACTTGCCCCAACTGTAAGCTCAGTTGTCAGCAGTATGTGATTCACCATGAAGTCACGTTCACTTCCTGCCATAGCGTCCCTCAGACCATTCTCCAGAAGGCAGGCACGAGCTACTATTAACTATAAATTCATTCCAAAATCATAATCAGGAATGAAGGATTGACCTTGCTGATCTGCAGAATGCAACTGAGGCACGCACTATAATAAAATTCAGGAATCTTAAAGATCTGTCTTTACGAAAAGCAGTTCATGTTGCGCAGTCACCTGTGATACCAAAGGACCAGCTCCAGCAAACCGCTCTGTGGGGGCTGAAGTTACCGCTCTGCTCTTCTTTCTGCTTCTCTGCTGTGTTAACACCTCCCACAGCACAACCAAGGAAACAAGCACCCACTGCTTAGATATCCTAGTAAAAAATTCCCCACCTTCACTGGAAGTTTAACAATTATGGGCTCAGATTACATCAGAAAGGTATAGATTCATGTTCTGACAGCCAAAGTAAACCACCAACGGTGTAATTTTAAACTGCTCCAAGAAGCCCTTCCAGAGCTCACCAAAATACACTCTCATTCACTGCAATATCTGTGTCAACATGACAAACACAACCCTGACAGGAGACACAACGCAAGATGTATTTGCATTTATGGGCATCCTCTGCCCAAGGTATAGAGATGGCAAGTACTAAATATTTGCTCAATATCCAAAACATACCCTTTCCTCTCTTACAGGACGAGGCAATCACAAGTAACATGGATCAAACAGCAAGATGTCTCGCCATCCATCAGATCACTGGAACCTTTGTAAAAGACAACTGATCTCCCTCCCAGTTTTCAAAACACACCTGAAACTGTCTTCACCTGAGATAATACTTTAATCCAGCACAAGGAGAAGGGTCCTGGCCCCCCTCCTTTGTTCCTTCTATCTCTAGCATTCACCCTGTCAGGAAACAAAAAAAAACCTGGGTCTGGAAACAAAACTGGCTGAAACCCAACCTTTGCAGGCCAATGGCCCCATCAACGTCAGAACCAGTACAGTCTGACCTGCCCTTTATATGAAACTTATATCAGTTTAAAACAACTCTGCTACTGCAACTTCATGATGCAATAACACAATCCAAGCTTCATCATCAGCTTAAACTGATCTCCTTCGAATATAAAAATGTGGTTTTGGGTGACCCCCACTCCAGATTGCCCCGACATCATCCTTACACCGGTACTATAGTTAGTCAGCTCATTTTGCTAATCTGGCTGAAAATCAACCGTAAAAACAAAGTAGTCCCATCTGAACCAGCAAGCAGAACTGACAGAAGCACCACTGCCCACAGCAAAAATGAGGAAACAGGAGTGGGATCCCCTTTTCAGTAGTAACAATCTTCCATTCGCTTCAGTCAGCTGTGGAGCTGCAGGGTGGCTGAACACACCTAACTGGTGGGACATGCAGCAGGGGGACAGACCACAGCACCCCCACTAAGTCGCTGCCTTTTGTTAAAGGTCACTACAGTAATTAACAGGACCCCATCCAACCTGGGCGATAACCAAAACTAAAATTTATATATTTGTAATGGAGTTAGAGATAGTTTTCTTAAGTCTTCCGGTAGGACCTGTTTTCCTGCTACTGCCATCTTTACCATGCTTCATATAGCCAATATGTTTAATTAAAAAAACCAGCCAAACAAAAAAAACCACTGAGGCTTTGTTGTACATGAGCCTGAGCAGTGAAAATATTTTCAGAAGCACACATACGTAATAATCAGACTAGTCAGACATTCAAAACACATACTGTGAGGATCTTTTCAACGACTGGGAGATACTATTGGAAAAATAATTATAATTATACCTGCATGAAACAATATTCAGGCTTTATAAATGTCAAGTAACATGGCTTTTGTCTACCCAGACATTGTTTGCATGAAGAAAAAAAAAAAAAAAAAGAGACACCACCATACTGTGAACTAGTCACAGGCAATTAACATGAAACACACGCCAGGTCTATGCAAGTATAAATAGCCTGAGGATCAACAAAAGGAAGAACAAAACATATTTTGTGTAATCTGCGTAAAGCATAAATACTCCAATTCATGCTCAGATGAACCCCTTTCATCACTGGATGTGAAACACAATTAATTTCTTCCTATGGTTGCCACAGTACTATCATTAACCTTCCCTAGACACCCTAAATTAAGCATACTGCAAATGCACAGAGGAGCACCAGAGAACTGTAAATGCTGCTCATTGTCCCGCCCATGCAAAAAAGGGTAAGTACTGCGAGAATCCTGACAGCCACCTTTTCACCCTTAAACTAAGTATCCTTTTGAATCCTCAGTTATCACTTCCAAGTTAAGAATCACCTCTTGCATTCCTCCAAACAAAATGTAAAGACAACCATTGTAGCCTAGTATTACACATGGTGAGACCAACTCTGTTCTTCCCATATCTGTTATTAAATGGTAAACCCAAGAGCCCTACCTAATTGTCTGGAGAGTTCAACAAATGAAACAGGCCTCAATAAAAATATGGAAGCTATAAATCTGAACCAACCTTTTAAACGTGTAGTAATTATGTTGTGCACCCAAAACACTGGACAGTTATCTAAACTGGTATAATAGAATTCTGAGATAACTACTGTTCACCATGAAAGCAAAGGGGAAGGTAACAGATAAAAATGGAGCAAGAGAAAGAATGAAATGGAAATGAAAACATAACACCTTATGCTTCACTGAAACCCTGGGGAACTTCTACTCATAAGAATCACCTCAGCTGATGATTTATATAGCTAGGTCTTCATCCTCTAGACACAAATACAGCTAACTTCACATATACAAACAATGATGTATCTTTTTACTGGAATAACACTGACTGAGTATGCAAAGTTCAGCAACTGGGTCTCAAATGGTAGGACATCCAGAAATGGCAGGACTAGGAAAAAAAACCAAACAATTTCCATATAAGTGGAAAAAACCACTAATATATGAAAGAAACAAGGATTTTCTCTTTCTCTCGACTCACCAGCCAGGTTCTAACATGGAGTATATAAACAATACATTTGAAATACTTGCTTGCGTGAGCTTCTTGCTGGTATGCTTGCGCAATGAATGTGAATAAATTCCAATCTGTTTGTGAAAGACCTGGGGGATTACAGGTCTTGCGTTACTATTGGGTAAGGAAAGGTTTTCCCTTTTTAGTATTCTTTTTCCTCCCATTTTTACCAAACTACTGAAACAGTTTCGATGGCAAAGGCATGACTCTACCCTCTGGAAACAGGCTAGGTGTGATAGTTCAACTCAGCTGGCAGCCACACAGGATACAGCCACTCGCAGCCTCCCACCCCACCCACGGAATCGGGGAGAGAATTGGAGGGGTAAAGCTAAGGAGACTTATAGGTTGAGATAAGAACAATTTAATAATTGGAGTAAAAATAAAATTAAAATAATAAGAGTAATAATAACAACTATATATCCATGAGTGATGCAGAGTACAATTGCTCACCACCCGCTGATAACGATCCCGAAGGAGCGAGAAGGAACCTTGAAACCGAAACTGCAATCCCGCAAAAGCGAGCCCGAGAAATTCCCTAAAGAATCCCTCCTTTCTGGTCAGCCCTGGTTAATATACTGAACTTGACATAATATGATATGAAATATCTTATTGACATATCCAACTGTCAGTTCTGGGTTTTACCAACTACTACACTTTTCTTCTCTACCCCCTGCCTCCCTTCCAGTCCTCTGTTCTTAGAAACCGCCCAAGCACAGTGTCCTTGTAGCTATCAACATTATTCTCATAACAATCCTCACTGAAACCAAAACACAGCGCTTTCTAGCTACCCAGAAGAAAATTAACCCCATCCTAGCAAAAATCAGGACACTAGGCTACACCACTGATGTTGGACAGCTGACCACGGGTCCTGTTCAAGTTAAAGAAACTTCTCTGGAAACCAAGTAAATTAGGCTTTCAAAACTCCTGTATTTTGAACACTGAAAGTTAACTGTAGGCTCTGACCTATTTTTGAATACACAAGCCAGAACATTATGCATAAACACAGGCTTTGACAACCCATACTATGCTGCAAATTTATAGCCGTGGGCTGTGGACTATTAAATCTCTACAGATGTAATGGATTTTGAAACACCTACTCATACATACTGTGAGGAGAAGAGAGGTTCTGCACACGAGTGCTCTTCAGTAAAGAAAAACGATACTAAAGGGAGAAGAGACCTTCGGTATTGGGCTCTCCCTGATGCACCCTACTTCTACCACAAGCCTAGTCAGACTTACACACACACACGCACACACACAAAAAGGCAAGCACTGGACCACTGATACGGCCACAGCCTTTTACAAACCTAGCTGAGTGAGCACCGGGAGCCCTAACCCAGCTTGCCGTAACTCCCTAAGCTCTGTCACGGGGTTCCACATCACAGCGGGCCCGTGGCTC